TTTCTTAGCAATTAATTTATTTATTGATATTTCACTCTCTAAATTCATCTCACTATATGCCAAACAGATCAATAGCTACAAATTTATAAAAACTGCATCTGCCCAACCAGAAAACAAAAAAAAATATAATCTTGTAAAAAATGTTATAATGCTTTGAAAGATTGAAAAAAAAAACAACAATTAATTTTAAAACTATGGTCATTTTTAGGGTCCAAAATTCAAATTTTGGAAGTCCGTCCGTCTGTCCATATATTCTTGTGAACAAAATGCAGGTCGCATTTATTATCCGATTGGGATGAAATTTTCCAAACCACATTTGTTTGGCCCAAACATTGAAATTGGAGATAATCGGACAAAATTTAGATATAGCTCCCATATATATCTTCGTCCGATTTGCTTTTTATTGTGCACCTAACGTGTAATATCAGCCCGAATAGTATGAAATTTTGCACATACAACCATTTGGCACATACGACCGAATTGAGTCCAGAAGGTAGTATGCCAAATTTGGTGAAGTTCGGTTCAGATATAGCTATAGCTTCCATATATACTGTTCATCCGATTTGTTATATTTGTTACCCACAGCCGCAATATGCACTCCGTAACAACGATATTCAGGGAAATTTATCAAATACAGCTCAGAAATATATTTGCCAAATTATATTGAAATCGGTTCCGATTTGTATATAGCTCCCATATACATCATTATCCGATTTCACCAAATTTGGCATACTATATACTAGCTTCTAGACTCAATTCGGTCGTAAGTTCCAAATTCCATCCCATTTGGACAACTATTAGACGTTTGATGCACAATAAAACATAATTCGCCGAAGTTTTATATGGGAGCTATATCCAAATCTGAACCGATCTCGATAAAAATTTGGCATACTTATTTTCAGGCCTAATTTGGTTGTCTGTGCAAAATTTCATACTATTCGGTCTGATATTACACGTTAGGTGCACAATAAAAAGCAAATCGGACGAAGATATATATGGGAGCTATATCTAAATTTTGACCGATTATATCCAACTTCAATAGGGTTCGTCCTTGGGCCATGCAACTGATTTGTGCAAAATTTCATCTGGATAGGGCAATAAATGCGAACTGTACTTTGTTCACGGACGGACATGCATAAATCGACTCAGAATGTGATTCTATGCAGATCATCAAAAGGAACTATGGGTCTATCTCGTTTCCTTTTGCTTGTTACAAACAAATGCACAAACACATAATACCCTTACCACTATGTGGTGTGGGGTATAAAAATAGCATGCGATTAAATAAAAATAATGTCACAAATACTACAAAATCTATATAAACATCATTATTATTATATTTACGCGATTTTTTTTTAGATTTTATTTTATTTAGCCAAGAGGCCATTCAGAATTGTCAAAATTTGTCAAAATCTGTCCAGCCATTCTTGAGATATAAGCATTCTAGCTAACATCCCTTTCCTTTGTATATAATCATTGTATATATTTCGCTATTTTGGAGACATCTGCCCAGCTCTAACTTCCGTCGATTGGTCCGTAAGTGCGACCTGTAGAGAAATTGTAAAATCAGGAAATTTTTCAGTTTTTGGTCTATTTCAACCCCTAAATATTATGCGATCACCTCCAAAAGCAATAGGCTTCTATTCTAGCCCAATCCAAAATTTCGTGCAGTTCGAGCCATAATGATTACAAATTAACATGGACAGTCGGACGGACGGACATACATGGCTAGATCGACTCAACTCGGCGAGATAGGAAGATAGATTTATACTCCCCCCCCCTTGACCACGGGGTAAACGCATTGATATTCCAAAAAGTGCAAGAGCTTACACCGTAAAGGAAAGAAAATAGACTCAAAAGGGCTAAAGAGTTGTTCCGCTTGGCCGAAAGTGGTGAACTGCCGAATGTAGTTTTCTTCTATTAGAAAACATTCATTGTCCAGCAGTTTGTAAACAATAAAATCATTATCGTGTTTTATCGCAGTCCAACCGGACTCAGCACCATTGCACTCAGCACGCGCCATCCAAGAATGGTTACGAAATGAGGTTCCTCGCTTCATTTGCAGCACACAATGGCCCCCAAAATCTCGGGATACCAATCCGTTAGACTATTATGTCTATAGAATTTTGGAAAGCTAGGTTGGCACTAAAAAATACCAAAGCGTCGATCACTTCAAGCAAGCGCTTCGTCGGTAATGGACCAAAATACTGCAGAGCAACATTCGGTCAGGGTGTGACGGTTTCATTGGAAATTTAAAGGCCATAATTCGTGCCAAAGGTGACAAATTCGTACAATTCTAAACTTTTTCCAAAATATGATGCTATTTCCGACATTTTTTGCTTTCATTCAATAAAATTAAAAAAAAAACAAGTAAGCAAAGGCTACAGTCGAGCGGGGCCGACCGTTGAATACCCTACAATACTACAATAAACGATACAGTTTATATAGGCGAGATACTCGAAAGAATTCCACAAGATATTGTGACAAATAATAAAAGAAAACCATCAGGTTTCGTTCTCTAATTTTCGAATAATAGCAACTTAAACTAATTTGCTCATTTCCAATTTATTGGTAGATGTTGCACGTAAATGGTCTTCCTAGATCTGGAACCAATATTTCCCAAAGTCCCATAATCACTCAGAAGTGGCAAAATATTAAAATTTATTATTGGTTTTTGACTGAAACGCATCTATATGAGATACAGCCATTTGACTATATTCTTCAACGAAATCAGCGTTAACGAAATAGTCAGAAGTGCGTCTTTCCTGTATTTGTGAATTCTCCAAGAAGTCACTGTAATGGACATTTTCGTATTTTGTCTACAAAAGTTGGCAAACTATTTCACACATTGAATATTTTTGGATGGCCATCCAAAACTGCTTGGCTTTTGCAATGTCCGGTAACCCCCATTCAAATGTGCCTGAGGATCGGGCGATAATTACGACCTGCTGACAATTTTGCAGTTTTTTGGTCCATTTCAACCCCTAAATATATGTCGATCATCTCCAAAAAGATTAGGCTTCTATTCTGACCCTCATCTGATCCCCATGCCAAATTTCGTTAGGATCGGGCCATAAATGCGATCTGTATATGATATCCTGATATCCTAACTACTTAGTTTTGTTAGCTGTAGAAATATTACCAAATGTTTAATTCAAAATTAAAATATGCCAAAAATATGACAAAATTGAAAAAATATGAGAAAATTTACAAAATCAATATTTTCATCTTTAGAGAGATATTTTTATGCGACTTTTTAGGCGTTTTTTCTTTTCTGCCAAGAGGCCATTCTGAATTGATGAGAACTGTCGAAATCAGTTCAGCCGTTCTCGACATAAAATAGATCTTTCAAGCATATCTTCTTTGATAGACATATATATCGTACATATTTTGCTATATATCCGATTTGTTGGATGTTAACATCAATGTAAAGATCAGAAGTAACCCTGTCATGGCTTTGTGATTTCGCCGGGATTTAAAATATTCGCGGTTTAATGAAAAATTTCAAATTTTTTCAATACAAAAGATATGGTCTATTTTACCCGCTTAATATAATCCGATGACCACCCAAATTGGTATGCTTCTTCCCCGCCCTAAACTCTAGCTACATGCGAAATTCCGCGTCGATTGGTCTATAACTGCGACAAGTATAGCTACTGCAAAATCTGACATTTTTTCAGTATTTGGTCCATTTCAACCCCTAAACATTTGGCGATCATCTCCAAAAGAAATAGGGTTCTATTCTGACATTAACCCCACCTACATTTTAAATTTCGTGAAGATCGGGCCATAATTGCGACCTGTAGAGTGATTACAAATTAACATGGACAGACGGACAGACGGACGGACGGACATACATAGCTAGATCGACTCAGCTCGGCGAGCTAGGAAGATCCATATATACTTTCCTATATGGGAAACCAATATTTCGAGGTGTTACATAAATTCTGGTCCAATCAAACTTATAATACCCCCAACACATAGTGTTGTAGGGTATAATTAAGAATTATGGCTTTTGACTTTGTTGCAGTTTTATTTATCTCACCCTGTACAAAAACATGTGGTCAAATGCTGAGCGTAAGTGTCAAAACACCGTATTTGAACAAAAATCACATTAAATTATATTGATGTTAAATCGATCAAAGGCAGAAACGGGACAATTAAAGCGAAATTAATATTGTTTTGAATGATAAACAAATAGTAAATATAAAATGTATCCTTTAGAAGGGCCAGCAAAACGGGTTGTACTGGAAAACAACACGACAGTTGAGATGCAGACCTAAAATTTTGGCTTTACAAAGAAAAATATTTATTTTTTTTTTGGAGTTTCACTTAATTTTCTCTATTTAGCTATATTTTTACCAGAGGAGATGCTTTCTGCCATTATCATTGTATTGTACTCTTACAGGAGATCATAATTTCTAAAAATGTGTAAAACTTATAAAGTAAATGATATATGGAACGAGCTTAGAAAATTTTCTGTCATATTTGCCGAAAAACTATTCAGATTAAGATATAACTCTCTCCGGACTCAGACCGTAATGCTAATTTAATAATGATATTGATGAGGTTCGCCCAAATCTGCAATAAAGATTTGTTATACGAACTATTTTATGAATTACGCATTTGAACCTTTCTTACGGGCTTCAAACTATTTGATTGAAATACTACATTCTGCGCTTGCAAAAACATTCGAATTTTTATATTTGAAGCATTTTCCAAATCCCATTATTATCCCCAAATTATTTAGAACACTATCTCTGCATTAAAAATCTAAATAAATTCCTTAAGTAAAAACTGCCATAGAGCATTCTATTTCTACATTAAAATTTATTGGAAAAATATTCAAAATCGATTTAAGCTCACTTTCTATTCATTCCCACAGATAAGAAAACAAATTTCTCCCCTTTCGAAGAAAAAACGAGATTAAAACAATCTAAGATCAATGTTCTGCACTTTAATTTCCATTAACATATTTTCACAATTGGTGCCCTTTTCTCTTTCTTTTCCATTGCAGAAAGGAACTCTTGGAGCAGAAAACTCAATTTACGCTACAACTGGAAGATGCGCACAAAAATGCGAATCAACTGCAAACGAAAATCAATGAAATGCAAATGAAAATTGAAACCTTAGAACAAGAATTATCCACCAAAACCTGGAATGTTGAAAGTAAGTGTCAGGGTGTAGTGCTCACAAAGGGGCCGCCGAAAAAAGGGGTTAGCAAACCGATATGCTTGCACACCCACGCCCGCTAAGCCCCAACGAAAGAAACCGAAATGAAAAACGTAGAACAAAAAACTTAATGCAATTTCTTTCAATGCAATAGGATTACAGGGAGAATTAAATGCAGCTCAACGGGATGATGAATATGTCCGCCAAAAACTGAAAGTACTGGAGGATGAAAAAACAAATCTACGCCATCGTTTTCATGACTGCGAAGATGAGTTGAAAGCGAAATATGGTTTGTAGTCGTTCTTTTTTAACCCTTATCTTTTTCGTTTTTAATTTGCATAGGGTGCAATTGGCCAATGTTCAGTAATTCTAGCCTTTTGTATATCCCCCATTCTATGTTTGTTTCTGTTTTTCTTACACAGATGAACTCGAAACTCAGTATAACGAATTACAAGAAAAATATAAACAAACGCAAGCGTTGGCTAGTAATTTACAAACCCAATTGGCTCAAGCCCAAACCGATGCCCAGGAACAGCGCGACGAAGTCGAAAGGATACGCACATCACTGGAAGAACAGGTAGCTTTGCTGAAGAGTGCTCTGGAAAATTCGGAAAATGAGAGGAAAATATGTGAGGATAAATGGCAAAGAGAATTTGAAATGCTTCGGACACAAAATATGGGTGAGTTGAAGGCAAATTTAAACTTAAGAATGGAAAATTAATGACAAATATGCGAAATATGGCAAAAAATGGGAATTTAGATTTTTGCCGGAAAGCTTTTCTAAGTTCAACAATATATATGAAAACCCACAATTGCCTTTTGCAAGAAATTTTCAAAATATGAAGGATTTTGAAAAAGCGTACATGGTAATCTTAAATAAAAAAAGAAGAAATCCACAGTTGTTGACTCAAAAGTCCTTTAAAAATCTTGGATCATTCATCTTATACCACTGTTAAACTCTCCCTCAAACCCCTTTAAAATATTGTTAAAAATTCATAATCCTTAATTTAAAAGTTCTTTAAAATCACAGTAAAAATCAACGATCCTTGATCTAGAAGACACTTAAAAAACTAGTAAAAAATACCTTGATATCCGAATACTGTTTGCAGTTTTGTTCGGGACCTTTAAGACCTTTCAAAATTATTAAAAAACAAGTAAAAAAGATCGACATCGTTAAATCGTATATTTCGAGGTGTTAAAATGTATATTTCGAGGTGTTACAAACGGAATGACAAACTTAATATACCCTCCATACAATGGTGGAGGGAATAAAAAATGCGAGATGCATTCATACCTCAAAATTATTCTCCAAAGAAACTGGATCATAGACACAATATTATCTTGATAAGAGGCTTTTTACATAATAGTCACGATCTCATAACCTCTCAAAGTAATTTTAAATTAAACATCCTGTAAACTCAACTGTTATATTTTGAAGTCCACAATCCTAGAATTTATAGCCCCTGAAAATTCTTTTTAGAAATAAATGAACACACATCTGAAAGTCCCTTGAAATTATTTAAAAAAATCCAATATTCTAGATCTGATTGTTTCAAAAATTCTTTATTAAAATCAAAGATCTGATTATTTGAAATATTTCATCTGTAAAATGCCTCATCCTAGATTTGATTACTTTGTAAAATTTTCTTTAAAATGCACGGCTTTAAAAATCTCCGATCCCAGAATTGATAGTCTCAAATAATTTTCCTAAAAATCCCCATTTACAGGTCTGATAGACTCTAAAAATTGTTCCTAATATTATTTTCAAAAATTCAGCACTAGATATTCCTAAAAACTACCTGAAAAATCTGTTATTGTCTTTGCAAAAAACCCCGATTCTTGACCTGGTGTTCTTAAATATTCTAGAATTCTGGATCTGGATCTGGTTCCAGAAATTTCTTCAAAAATCATTGATATTGTGGTCATTGTAAATTATTCTCAAAAGTCCACTATCCTTGATCTGGTGATCTCTAAAAGTTATTTTTAATTATGAAGGATGACCAAGGAGCATTTTGGTTTCTGAATTCACTCTCAAGAATCCAGAACCTTGCTCACCTTGTCCCTGAAATTTTTTGTTAAAAATCTTTGATCCTAAAATTTCTTCTATCCAATCCAGAACCTAGACCAGATAGTCCTGAAAAATATTTTTATACCATCCACCATTCTATGGAGGGTTTAACGTTTGTCATTTCTTCTCGAAATATTCATATATTCTGGATCAGCGTAAAATTCTAAGACGATCTAGCGATGTCCGTCTGTATGTCTGTCCGTCTGTTGTAATCACTCTATCTTTGGAACGAATTGAGATAGAAGGCTAAAATTTTGCATGCATGCATAGTTTATACATAGTAGGCAGGTTAGGTTTGTAAATGGGCCATGTCGGTCCACGTTTTCGTATAGCCCCCATATAAGGGCACCTCACGATATTCGATATTTTGATGATTTCAGCAACATATTTTACCGGCATCGTTTCAAATTTCGTACTGGAAGATGCCAATGGGTACTACAGCCTGGCAAAAATGTTTGTATGCAGGTTCAGATCTTCGTATAGCCCCCATATAACGGTACCTCCCGATATTCGGTATTTTCATTATTCGAATTTCGTATTTGAAGTTCGTAACGGGTACTACAGCTTATGACAACAATTTTTATATGTAGGTCCACGTCTTCGTATTGCCCCCATGTATATAGTCAGTATTATGACGATTTCGGCAACATTATTCACCGGAATTGGTACTACAACTTATGGCCAAAAAATTCATATGCAGGTCCATATGTTCGTATAGCCTTCATATGACTGTACCTCCCTATTCTCCATATTTGCATGATGTTTGCGTCATTTTTCACCGCAATTGTAACAAATTTCGTATTTGAAGTTCTTAATGGACACTACAGCCTATGAAAAAAAATTCGTATGCAGGTCCACGTCTTCGTATAGTCCCCAAATAACGATTTTCATTTAAGTGGTAGTTTTCGGATTTTTTTAAATTTTTCAATTTCCTTCGAAATGGTTGAGGCCCGGTCGAACTTAGCTGCTTTTTTACTTGTTTTTTTAAATAATGCATTTTAAGTTCCTTATAATCCTTCAAAATTCATAATCTTTGAATTTTTCTTTCAAAAATATGCTACCGTTGTTACGGTGGCCCCTGAAAGTTCTTCTGGTAAGTACACCATCCTTGAGTTCATAGTCGTGGTGCCCGAAATTTCCAGAAACTTTGACCTGTTGGTCCCTGCAATTTCTTCACAACAACCACCCATTCTTAGTCTGTTGTTCTACAATCGTGGACCAGATTATCCCAGTTTTTTTTTTTTTTTTTTTTTTTTTTCAAAAACATCACCTTTTTTGGTCTCTGAAATGGTCCCTGAAATTTCTTTTCAATTTTCTATGTCGATCAAGAATCATTGTGGCTCCAAAATATAACTCTCAAAAATGCAAAGCCTTGATCTTTTTGTCCTTGAACTTTGTTGTCAAAATATTTCGATCTTTGATCTAATTGTCTCTTAAGTTTCTCCTCATAAACCAACAGTTCTTGATTTGGCGGTCCCTGAAATATCTTCTCAAAATCCACGATCCCTGGTATGGTCATTAGGTCAATTATTCTAAACAATCCGCGATTCAGACCGGGCCTGCAAATTGTCCTAAATAATACACAATCCTGTTTGGCCCTGCAAATTCTCCACGATCATAGTCCCTTAAATTCATATTTAGAAATGCATTACCCTAGATATAATAGTAGCGGAATGATGTTCTAAAAAATCTGCAATCCTATATTTTAAGTCTCTTAATGTTATTCTCTGAACAATCCGTAAATATTTTGCTCAATAAATTGAAAATTAAATTTCTGTTAATGAAAATATGGGATCCGGGATCTGAACTAAAACTTAAGTTTGTTTAAACTTTAGATTACTCTCACTGTTTTAAATATTCTGTTAATTCAACTATTCTCTGTTTGGATAACCGCTCTTAGATTTAAGATTTTATTTAATTTAAATTTTATTTCTCAACATTGCATGAGCCGATGTCTGTAGCTATCAAGATTTTACATAAATAATGTCTGAAAACGTCGGCATTGTTAAACAAAACTCAAATTTCTTAAAAAAAAAAATCCGCAATCTAATATTTTGAGAAAAAAAATCGTTAAAAACCAATTATATTTTTTTATTCTATGATATTTCCACGGTCCTACATATATCTGAAATAACCTAATTAGATTCCGATTCCAATTTTGAAATTCTTTAAGGTCCCAAATTTCTCAAATATGTCCATTACTCCCTTTAACATTAACTTCTTCTCTTCTTTTCCAGAACGTGAAGAATCCATAATGACCGACTGTGAATGGCAATTGCGTGAAACGCAAAAGCAATGCAAAGAACGTATAGATAAAGTCGAGGCAGCACGTAAGGAAGCCTTTGAAAATGTCGAACTTCTCGAAAATGAACTGGAAGCGTTGAGCAAAGAAGCCGATGATTTGAAAATCTATCAGAAACAGGTTACCTCGTTGCGCGGTGTTGTCAATGAACAGGCCACATCCATACAAACTCTGATGTCACAAATCGAATCTCTGAAGACAGAGTTAGAGACAGCCAACACTAGTCTGCAGGAACAAATTGAGGCTGTTACCAAAATAAAATTCCATTGTGATAATGCTCTCTATGATAAGGAACGTCAAATGATTTATCGAATCGATGAAGTACGCAACGAAGCTGCCGCATTTTGGGAAGATAAACTGTACACAGAGATGACAAGACTGAAAAATGAACTTGAATCTGTTTATGTGGACGAGCGACGCGATGCCTTGGATAAGCTGCAAGTGGAGCATGTTGAAGAGTTAAAGGCCCTCACAAATCGTTATACCGCCAACGAGGAAGAGCTGCGAGCAGAGTTGACCGAAGCCCAGGAGGCACTGGAACGTAAATCGAGAGAATTCTTGGAATTAAGAGAAAAATCTGATCAGGCTTTGCTACAGACTCGCATGCATTTGGACCGGGCAGATCGTGACTTCCAAAAAGCCATGTGTCAGGAAGAAGAAAGACGGGAAGCTTTGGAATTGAAATTGCGCAACGAATTCGAGGAGGAGAAGCAAGAAATGGAGGAAAAATTCCGTGAACGTTTAGGCCAAGTTAAAGAAGAATTTGCCAAAGAGTTACAAATAAATACCCAAGAATTAACGCGAGAGCACGAAAAGGAGCTGCAAAAACTTAAAGTCAAATTGACAGCCGAAAAGGAACAAGCCCTCCAAGAACTGGCCGAAAGACATCGACAGAAAATGTTCGATGCCGAGGAGAAAATCAAAGAAATCGAACTGCGCTACAAACGTGACTTGAAAGATCTCAAAGCTGCCTACGATGCTGAAAAGATCGCTCTCGACAAACGGGACATTAGCAACGCCAACGAAATCGAACAGCTACATCGAAAATGTCGCTGTCTCACCAATCTCTTTGAGGAGATGCGTATGCGCTATGAACGACGTGATCCTCGTCCTGAAGACTTACGGGAAATTGCCGAGCTACGGGAACGCTGTGAGTCTCAGGAACGTGATATGTATCTGTTGACTGATCGCCTGCGTGAAATGCAAATCCAAATGAATGAGTTGCAACAGAACAACGCCAACATGAACAACAACAACAGCAACAACAATAAAAAGACAAAGCAAGTCAAGAAGCCACCACCCAAGTCGATACCCACAAATTGCGACGTTATCTACGAAGAAAACGAGGAACGAGATTCACCACCACCCAATTCATATGCGTCGGACACCATCAATGAGGATGACGTCGATGCCAACAACACCAACCGCACAGATGACAGCAAAAAACAACAGATTGTCGACATTTCGAAGACCAAGTCGAAACTGATCGCCGACAACCAGCAGGATGACAGCCACATGATTACCGCCATGTAAGCGACGGCCAACAAAATGATTGAAAATGGCGGATGTGACTGTGCGGCCCCAACAGAGGCCAGTTGTTGGCCGTTCCAAATCACAAAGGGTGATTTGTCATGTACAACATTTGTATCAGATGCTTCTACACTACCATATGGGGGGTGGCGCCGCGACTGCATGTGTCCCATGCACCAAGCACCCCTGCCAGCCACCATTTATCCTCCACCCCGCACATAAACCATCACCAGTCGTCTCTCTTTTTTTGTAAAATATTTCAATATTTTGTACGATTCTCTACGTAAGCACGTGGACCTTACTCTATTTTTGTATTTCTAATGTGTATTATTATTTATTTCCTTATTCTCTAAGTGATCTGCAAAACGATTCTAAAACAAATTCTATTCATAATTCGTTGACTAGTTTAGTTGATGTATCAAAATTTATTTATTTATATATATTTAAAAAAAAAAAAACAAAACAAAGAAAACTTAAAGTTTTGTTGTTGCGAAATTATTCCCGAAATAAAAGAAAATCTTTTAATTTTGTACTTCAAAGAAGAAAAAAAAAAATGAAAATAAAGTGCAAAAACACCGAAGATTTTATTTGAATTTTTTAATAAATAGTTCAGAGTCAATATATCTGCAATGATAAAGATGAGTGGCTAAGTGCCATTTCAAAAGGCTAGAGCCGAGATAGGGCGGGGCTTTCGGAACTTTCTACTAATCATTCAGAGCTAAAGTCTTCAAAATTCAGTTCTAGGTTACATTTTATACAAGACATTGGATAATTTGGGGTTTTTGAAGATTCGAAACCATAGGTACTAAATAGTACCAAAAAAACCTTTTCACACGGTTTATATTCTGTACTCAGATTAGCTCGTATTTTGAAAATTCTTACTAAAAAAGGCGTAAACAATATTTTGTGATTAAATCCTATATTTTTAGAGCTAGTGGTTTGAAATTTCGCACGAAAATTACGATCGCTATTCGAAATTTGAACAAAAAGGCGTACTTCTTATTTTAGAGCCAAAATCTTCAAAATTCATATTTTGATCAAAAAACTACAATATATTATCCTTTCAGATATAGAAATCTGAAATATATATGTAACATATGTAAAAAGATGAGTTTTTGATTCTCTCATCAACGCCCAGATGAAACGGCTATAACTAGAATTTTTAAATCATAGTTTATAGTTGGGTGATAAAGGAGGGCGTTTTTATACCCTCCATCTTGGAAAGGAGGTACCTCCTCCTCATATAACGGTACCTCCCGATCTTCGATATTTTGATGATTTTTACCACATTTTTTCATGGATTTGTCTAAAAATTGGTATTTGTTGGTCATAATGGGTTCTAGCTCCGGTGGCGAAACATTGTATGTATAGGTCTACGTTTTGGTATAGCCTCCATAAAACGGTATCTTCCGATACTCGGTATTTTGATGGTTTTTGTCACATTTTATCACGGATTTGTCTAAAAATTGGAATTTGTTTGTCATAATGAGTTCTAGCTTCGTTGGCGAAATATTGTATGTATAGGTCCACGCTTTTCTATAGCCCTATATAGCGGTACCTCCCGATATTCGGTATTTTGATGATTTTTGCCAAATTTTCCCCACGAATATGTCTAAAAATTCGTATTTGTGAGTCATAATTGGTTCTAGGGTCATAATTGGTTCTAGTTGGAGGTTATTAAAAGTTCGGCCGGACCGAACTTGTTTTTATTTTTTTTTTTTTTTTTAATTCATACTAAATCGTAAAAAAAGATGTGTTTTAGACTAAAATTCTACACTTTAAGATCTGGGATCTTCACATTTTCCAAGTTGGGGTATTACAATAAAATTAAAACTGGCAAGTACCCGCTACTTCGTTGTGGAATAATGAATTTATATTAGGTTAATTTATGTTCAGCCAAGTGGTTCCCCCCAAGTAGAATGTATTAAATAAATTACCACAATTTATTAAAATCAAGTTACAAATTGGATGACTAATTTCAATGCACATTAATTTAAGATTCATATCCCTTCCCAAATATCGAATTCCATATTTAGTATTTCCCGTAAAAAAAAAACACCTCCTAACTCTAAATTAACCCTAATGAAAGATAAGTACGAATTTCCTAAACTCCCTGCATAATACAATTCTACACTCCAACAGTAATCTTAATTCTCAATTTCTGGGTTAGAGCTGCATCGGTTCATCTAAATCCAAATTGTACCAAATTTAGTACCATATAGTACACCTAAGTACGAATTTACAAAAATACTTACATCACACAATCTAATAGAAATCTTATACTTAATCATCTCATCCAAAATTTAAATTCTACCAAACTCAGTACTATTTAGTACACATGTGCACGAATTCACTAAAATACCCCAGTCCTACAATGCAATATTAATCTCATTTTCAAATATCATAATTCCAACGAATTTTCAAACTACCTACATATCTCAGTCGTAGACTGCACTAGAAATCTTATTTCCAAGTTTCAGAATTCCTACTCTATCAGTTCTCCCAAAATTTAAATTGTGCCATGTGTGGTACCACTTAGTACACATACGTACGAATTTACAAAACGACCTACATATCCCATTCCTACAATGCAAAATAATCTTATTTCCAAATTTAGGGATTCCAGCTCTATCGGTTAACCCAAATCCAAATTGTACCAAATTTAGTACCATTTAGTATCGTTCATGCACATATGTAGAAATTTTGAAAATTACGTCCATACCCCAATCCTACACTCCGCCAGTAATGTTAATTTCAAACTTAAGGTTTCCAGCTCCATCAGTTCCTCCAAATTCGAATTGTACCAAATTTAGTACCGTTTAGTACCTTTCGTATTAATGAGTACACACTTCAAAAACTACCTCCTTATACTGGATCATACACATCTCGAACAGAGACGACTTAGCACTGTGTGTCTGTCCATTGTGGCGACAAAAATTCTCTTTCAATTTGCAAGGGATATAGCAAAGTTCGTCCAAGGAGATGGCGTGGGCAGCCATTACAGCCGATGGTCGCTCTCCGCTCGTATCGACCGTGGCATCAGAATATTATCGCGAAAATATACTGGCGAATATTATCGCGAAAATATTTGGAACGCAAACATTTTGGCCGCAGACCTTGGTCATTCCAACAGGACTCAGCACCATCGCTCTCAGCACGCGCCACCCAATAATGGTTACAAAATGAGCTTGCTCGCTTCATTTCCAGCGCACAATGGCAACCAAAATCTCCGGATAGCAATCCGTTTGACTATTGTGTCTGGTGTATTTTGGAAAGCAAGGTTGGCACTAAAAATACCAAAGTGTCGATCACCTCAAGCAAGCGCTTCCCCGGAAATGGGTCAAAATACCGCAGAGCAACATTCGGGCAGCATGGGTCGCGTTCATTGGCCGTTTGAAGGATATAACTCGTGCCAAAGGTGACCAAATCGAAAAAATCTAAACTTATTCTAAAATTCGATGCTACTTCCGATATCAAAGCCAATGGCGATTGGCTTTGATGCAGTTTTTTTATCTCGCCCTGTAAAGACATATGAACCATTCATACTAATATAATAATTTAAACGCCATTTCTGGGATTGGGCTCTCGTCTACAAATATTAACGATTACATATAAAATGTATAAAAATCTCAGAAAAGGCCATTTTGCGTACGTCCCTGTTAGAGGGTACAAAAATCTAATCACAAATTTCTTAAAAAAAACGCATTTTCTAAATAACTCGACTGGTTTGGGTTATCATAAAGTCAGACCTATTTAACTTTTGAAAGAAGTGATTAGGCAATATGGAGATTGAGAAATTCAATATTTTTTTTAGTTTTCCTTCTCGCTCTGAATTGGTTTGAGAGTGCGATCTTTTACTAATTTTGCCCTTAAAATAAATTTCCCATTTATCAAAAAAAAAACTTTGCAAAACGGAATATAAATGAAATTTGTCAAATGTTTTATTTTCAAACGTTGACAGAAACTCGTCACATCAATGCCTTATTCAGCGATGTATGCACTTTGACGTACAACATGGCAAAAATTTTTTATAGAGGAAAATCATAAATGGTTCTAGTCGAATTATATGTGCTCTTTAACAAAAAATATTTTTATTTTTTGGTTTTTGTTAAAGAAAATTTTGGTATTACTAGAAAAGTTAAATACCAACAATTCTCTTAAAAGAAAGTAAAAAACAAAAATATGTTATATGAAATGACAACGAATTAATTTAATTAAATTAATTTTTTTAGGTCGAACGTATCAAAATTTGACCACCTTTGTTCTCAAAAAATTACGAAAAGTTGTCAATAACCTGCCGTAGGGTATTAAGGAATCAATAATTCTGACCCTCTAATATAATCAGCGGTGGTCATGCATTTCATGCGCTATATTTGGCTTTTAACATTTGTAACACTTCAATACGTATTCGACAGCAAATGTATTTAGATTTTAGATGCAAATGTTTGTGACCATTAAATGCATTCACCACCCATCGAAAAAATCCCTTATATGCTCCCCCTCCCCCCCAAAAAAAATATTCAATTCGATGGACACAAGTGGACACTTCAATCAGAATATCTAAGCACAAGAGTGTGACGAAAAATGTTTCAAAATAAAATCAATTAATACAAAAGCGAGTGGGTTGTGGCCGTAACACCCAAAGAGTGCTATATTACAATTGAAAATTCCAAAATATCATAGTTTTGAAAAAAAACACACTGTAGAATAAGGATTCTAATGCATTTGTTTGTGTATTAAAAAATTATATTCTTAGAGATATTTAATGCCACACCTTATTTATTTAGAAAATTATCTTAAGATATACTTTAATTAACATAATTATTTACATCCGGCTTTTTTGAAAACAAAACCAAAATAGAGCTTCAAAATTTGGCTCCATAGCCCCCATATAACGATGTCCACCGATAATCGATATTTTTATGATTTTTACCACCTTTTTTCAGGGAATTGTCTAAAAATTTGTATTTGTAGGTAATAATGGGTTCTAGCTCCTGTGGCGGAACATTATATAACGGTATCCGTGGCAAAACATTGAATATCTAGCTCCATGTTCTCCTATAGCGCACATACAATGTGAGATAAAAAAACGCAAGTCAAACGCCATACATTTTCATTTTCTTTTTAATTTTATTGAATGAAAGCAAAAAAATTAGAAATAGCATCAAATTTTAGATTAAGTTTAGATTTGTTCGAATTGGCCACCTTTGGCACGAATTATGGCCTTCAAACGGCCAATGAAACCGTCACACACTGCCTGAATGTTGCTCTGCGGTATTTTGGTCCATTCCCGGCGAAGCGCTTGCTTAAGGTGATCGACACATTTGGTATTTTTTAGTGTCAACCTTGCTTTCCAAAATACTCCAGATACAATAGTCCAACG